CACCACATTTACGACATAACACAAACATACACTTACTGTTCATCTTTGCAGGAAGAACAGGGTGATAAAGATTAGTAGGCGGTAATATCTTACACTTAATTAAACCAGACACAGCGGAAATATCAACACCTTGACATTCATCCCCGACATACAACTCTCAATATTTATATCCTCTACATAATAACAAAATCATCAAGTAATCAAGTACTCAAGTAATCAAGTAATAACAAGTAATCAAGTACATCAATGTGGAAGACGGATACAGTACAGCTTTCTTATGATCGCTATGCTCTAAACCTAAAGCATGACCGAGTTAATTAACAAGGGCCATAACGAGATTTTTGTAATCCCATTTATTGCATCTAAGTTTAAATATATTTCTACGCAAGTAGCATTAATGGAAAGGAAAATAAGAATGCAGTAATACTCGATCAGGATCATCAAAACGACTTGTTCTGTCCTAAGCAGTTGAAGTGAAAATAGTATGCTTTTTAGCTACAACAGATATCTGGTTCAGCAACTGGAACAGTTACTCTGGTAAAATGTAAGTTTGGAGCATCTTCCTATATGTTAATGGCTCTTTCTAACAACTGAATTATATCTTTCACTCGTTTCACCTGGGGAAAATATCATTTTAGATTATTTTTAAGCCATTTAGCGTACCATCCATATATAAATTTTATTTGGAAATGTATGAGCGTTGTCTTAAAATCTGATATAGAACTACTATCTATATACTTATATCGCTGCATATCGTTTTCCGAAAAGACTTTCTGCTGCTGCTATGAAAAGCAGCAGTAACATACATATTTAACACACCTCCATCTTGGTTTACATACGAAAAACTGATTCATAAGAGTATAAGCATCAATTTATATATATATATATATATATATATATATATATATATATATATATATTTAAATAAAAACATATGATAAGGCGCCAAGAGGTCTTAAACATAGAATTTTGTTAGAACAGACGACATAACATATCTTGTCATTTGAAACCCAGTAATTTAAGGTGTCATACGATAAGATTCAGCTAATAATAAACGATAGGGTGCCAAAAAGACCTTATACATAGCATTTCCTTAAATCAGACAGCACAATGTAATTCTTTATTCAGAATCCTTTAATTTGGTGCGTCATACGTTGATTTCCGCTTATCCGTTCAAAAGATATATGGTATAATGCCATAAAGACCGTTGCAATAACTTGGTTGAACTGTAAATGCTTATTTATTGTTATTGACGGTAAAACAAAACCATTGGCATAGAAAAATCTCTTATCGCAGTTTGATCTCTAGCAAACCCTAATTCCCTCAATTTTGCACCAAGTGCTCCGTGTAGTATACCATTAGAAAGGTCTTTTCACACATATTACGGAAATCACTAACCAAGTGCGATGCGATCATTATTTATGGCTAAAAACAACATAAAACGAACCAACGTTAAATTCCCAATTCTCCTGTAGTAATACACATTATATCTTTATAAAATCTATCGAGCAATGTGGAGACACGAACGCTGACAGAGACGCTCATGAAAAAATCGAGATTCAACTGTACCAACACATTTTTCACCGAACAACATGGCACCAACATAGGGGTAATCTACAGAATCGGAAAAAGATAGTGAACAAAATTAAACAAATAACATTCGAATATCTAGGCTATATATATCTAGGCTATATATATCAAGACATGGCAAATATGGATACAACAGTTGATTATTTAAAATAAAAATAGATACTAAGCGAGGGTTAGGCACGAGAAGACACTCATGGGCCTAAAATCTACGGAAATGATTCGAGGCCCACATCGGTCGATGTATTCAGAAGGTCTGAAAGCAAGATCATAATTACTATGTTAATAGTCAATGTACGCAATGGACCGGGTACTTGAAGATGAACTTTGAAACTAATCCTAGTGTATACTGACCATTTACGTATAAAAATTGCTAAAAATCGAAGAATTGTAATTATAATACAGAAATATTTTAAATAATATGTTAAAATAATGCATTTGTTAGCAAGCCGGATGAAGCCTCATGATAACGATATACCTCGTTGTTCAAAACACGTAAACAAGTTTGAGAACAAATTTTATTTTTCATTTCTATACAGAGGAAATAAAACCGCATATACAAGTTTGTAAATTGATAAAAACCGCATTCTTTATTTTGCATGAAATATTTTATCATGTGTGGTTTGTACTAATAAAAACAGAAAATATATTATTTTATTCTAGAATTTACGCTGCGATATCTGAGAGTATAAATAATCGAATTTAGTATGAATTGACATAGTATTACTGGCGCCCTTAGACGAACTAATATATTGTGTTTAGTGCAGTAAGTGAATAAAATTTGAGGTAAGTTATTTTTTTTTTTGTAGTAAATATAATTTTATTTCTTTTAACATGTTCATTTAATATGCATTAACAGAATAGCGCAATATTTTACTGTTTATTTCCCATTTCTAATTGTGATTTATACGTGTTTTTCTAAATTGTATGGGGCACCTCATATTTTTTAATTGATTTACGTTGTTTTTCGAAAATAGCGGCTTTTCTCTCTCACATTTTTATAATACTTTTTCTTTTTGGAAAAATAATGCTAAATATATTATCAAGAGCTATATTTTATCTTCTTACGCTTAATAGGCATTGCATACTATATTTTTTTTATCTATGACACTTAGGTAATGCCTTGATTAATTTTTAAATATGCGTTGTATACTACATTGTATCTATGAGAGGTAGGATGGTGCTGTGGGAGAAGAAAATATCTACCATGAGCTGCCTTTTAATTGATTTATTAAAGTGTAAATGTGTACAATCTTTTATATAATTATTCTCTCTGAAATATGTGATCTTCTTAATGTATGGTTTATTCAATGATATCCAAGTGTCGTAATTCAGCGATAAGTTTCATTGCTTCGTGGCTACTTAATGCATCTGGCATGAGTTTAAGTCCCTCTACTAGGAAATTTGGATCGTTGTTTTCATTATAGAGGAGCCATAGTTTGTTCAAGTCCTCATGTAGCTGTCCAGTTTCTGGTCTCTGATTTGTTTTTGACTCGTTTTTGGCTGTGCTGCTTTCCAAATACTGTGTTGTTGTTTTCGCTTCAATGTTTTCATTTGAACTTTTCTTTAGCCGTCCCATGTCTTTAGTTGATAAACAATGTCTTGACGAGGGTTGTCTTCTTTTTCTTCTTTCTTTCTCAACATACATGGGTTTGATAATTGTTCTAAATTTTTCTGGGGACGCTTGATGTCTCAAATATCCTCGGGAATCTCGATGAATACCTGTGACTTCTAATATTTTTTTATAGTTAATGCAATCGTTTGGTGTAAAGTCTCGCGGTTTCTTGTAAAATATTAAGTTATATAATCCATTAGTAGCTTTATACTGATTATTGTTAACCCATATATGTTTAGGAGTAAATTTTATCTCCTTATCACCCATTACCCATTTATCAGTTGTCCAAACATACTGTGGTCCATAACTTCTGTCGATATCTGGCGAATAATGCCAATATTTTTGAAGGTGATCTGATCTCTCTTCATCCTTCTGCTGTGTATTGTTTTGATGGTCGCTAGTGTCTTCATGCTTCTTCGATTGATGGAGAGTTTTCTGATAATTGTCGCTAGTGTCTTCATGCTTATCCGATTGATGTGTAGGTTTCATATAATTGTTTATTTGTGTGAGAGGTTCAGTTATAGGTGTCAAAATTGTTTCGAGCTGTTCTTGCTGATCACTCTGCATTCTTTTTAGAGCTTGGTACTTTTTTTCTAATAATATTAGCCAGCTGCGTAATACGTTGTTCTCTGTTCGAAATCATGCGACTTAATGCTCATTCTCTAGTTAAGAGCGCTATTTACAGTCGGTTACTAGAGGCTGACAATAGGCTGACTACAGGCTTACTTGACGCTGACATGACGCTGACTAGACGCTGACTACTGGCTTACTTGGTCCTCACAGGACGATGAGTACACTGACAGGACACTGACTGAATGCTGAGTACAGGCTGAGTTGTCTCGCACAGGACGATGACAATGCAGAGGTCGTATGCGTACAGTCAGACTTGATCCTAACAGGACTTAGACGACTCTGACTAGACACTAACTCGATGATGACTGTGCGATGTGTGGTTTCACATAAATCTAAGACACAAAGTGATGGTTTATAAATATATGTTCAATACGGTTCTGGCAACATATTTCTGTTGGTGACTCTCGTAACTTCTGTTTTCTTTAGCGCATATACCTGTGATGATCTCTTTTTACCTCTGTTCATTTCGGTGTTATCTGCTGTGTCGTTCTTCTGTGGTTTAAAAGCGTAATATAAAGCTATTTTGTTTTCTGCTGTCCTGTGCTTACGTCTATGGTTGTTTATAAATGTGTCTTTGCAGTATCCTTTGCTGTTATTTGTCCTGAAGTTTTTCTATGCCGTAAAAACGCTACGTACAGCTCCGTTGTTACCTGATGTGTCGTTCTCCCGTAAGATAAGTAACCAGGTTAAGTTAGACTATGGTGTTTTAGTTATATGTACCTACACCATTCTAATTAGCACAGAGTATCTTGTACGTTCTAGTAAATTTTTTATAGTTGGTAGTATTGCTTCTTTTTATGTTGACTCTACTGATACTATCTTGCTTAGTTCGTATAAGTTATTCGACACCTTATACGTAGCAGACGTACCAGTATTATCTTTAAATATGTGAAAAAACCCCATGTTTCTTGATCTCTCTCTCTCTCTCTCTCGAGGGCGATGCGGAAAATTTCAGTAAAAATATATTTTAAAAATTTACATGTTTGAATATACGAGGTGTCACAAAAAATAGTGGTTATAAGGCACCTCTCTAACCAATGAGCGTGACTGGGGTTTCTTAGGGTAATGTACATAAATAACGTCAAAACACGGTAATGAACTTAACTAGGAAAACTTTGAAAATAAAACACTGAGCAAATTAACATAATTTATTAATAATATAATATTATACATAGTGTATTTCACCATTACGAATATATCCTCTTCTGATTTTGGGTTTTGAATTGAGGTCTTCCTGCGTATTTTTTTCTATAAATTTGGTATGTTTTATGGCGTTGTTTACTACAGCGTACCCTTTATCATCATCATCATCATGAACTTGTATGTTATCCGTATAAAGAGGAAATGGCGGTATTAACTTATTCACTTGAGCATTAAGAAACTTAGTTGCTTGTCGGTTTTTTCGTTTACGTTTAGAAATGAACAACGGTCTAATGATTGACTCAAATTTGCGGATGTCACCCCTGTGACGTAATCTTCCTTTACAGTCCCTATGTACCCCACTAAACTCAAGTAACTGTTTATATATTGACAAATCATTTGGCGTATATTTCTGAGGTTTCTTGTAAAATATAAGATTATATAAACCATTGGTGGAGTTGAAAGTTTTATCATCAATCTGTATATGGCCATCCCTAAATATTATTTCTTTTTCGCCAAGTAACCACCTTGAAGTTCTCCAATCATACTTAACACCATATGCTAGATCAATGTCTTGAGAATTTTGCCAATATTTTTGAAAGTAGATGTTATGAGTATTCTCCATTTCTCTAAAGACTTTACTGCTTGATATGTTGTTTACTAGTCGGCAGCCTATGACCAAGTGATTGATATTCTACCGAAACTTTAATTTATATGCTACCCAGACAGACTATAGACGAACACCGACGAACATACGACGAACATAAGACGAACACGCGACGAGCATACAACGAACACGTGACGAGCAGCTAACACGCATCAATGCAAAGACTGTCTAACTTTACAAAATTATAAAGACATCGGCATCAATACGAGAATATCGTAATTCGTCAATTATTTCTTTGGCTTCTTCACTGTTTAAGGTACCAATCCCCGCGTGAATCCTAAGGCCTTCTACTAGTGTATTAGGATCATTATCTTCGTTATAGAGCCTGCATATCTCGTCTAAGGTAATATCTACCATCCACTGGTCGATTGTTCCGTGTCTCGTCAATTCTTGAGGGATATTCATCAAGAATGTTATGTGGTTTTCTTCTTCTTTTTATACAGCGACGTCTTCACGTAAAAAACGTCGCGTCTTCACGTAAAAACGTCACGTCTTCACGTAAAACGTCACGTCTTCACGTAAAACGTCACGTCTTTACGTAAAACGTCGCGTTTTCACGTAAAAACGTCGCGTCTTCACGTAAAAAACGTCGCGTCTTCACGTAAAAACGTCGCGTCTTCACGTAAAAACGTAGCGTCTTCACGTAAAAACGTCACGTCTTCACGTAAAAACGTCGCGTCTTCACGTAAAACGTCACGTCTTCACGTAAAACGTCACGTCTTCACGTAAAACGTCACGTCTTCACGTAAAAACGTCGCGTCTTCACGTAAAAACGACGCGTCGACGTTTCTAATCGAAGCTATTGTATTTGACGTAACATTTACGACTCTAACCTAACATACGCGCCATTTCTGAATCTAACTTAACCGCATACGTCACGCCACATACGTGCCGTGGTGTATGTGGCTTCTGCTACCCTCTGCTACCCTCTGTTACGATCAGCGGTTATATAAGCATGTTTTATGCTGTAACAGAGGGTAAGTGTTATATTCGTAAATAAAAATACATATCTTTTTTTTAAATTTTAATTATACACAGATACAAGTTTAGATAACAAAGTTTTTAATTGATATAAGATGTTTTCGTTAGGACATGGTACTCCAAATAGATTCCAGCTAAATTGTCCTCCCGCTACAACTTTTCTAGTAAATTCATTAAGTACTCTGATTCGCCATATTAAGTAAATTTTACATGAAAATCGTGTACTTTATGCTTATTGTACATGTGTTTATAAATACATGTTCGTCCCATAATTTTACCACAAATTTCACACTGTACTGGTCTTCTATCGTATTTATACTGCCATTTCTTAAATTCTTTATAATCTGACCAAGATTTACTGTTGAACGGTATCCATTTTCCCTGATTTTCGCCTGATGTTATTAAACATTTATCGCATTGTTTTGCTTCATTCATACATACACCGCACCTCAACATTTTTTTGGTTGAGTCGACCGACACCTTGAACAAACTAATGCAGAATGAGCTGCCAGAAAAGTTGCAATTGTTTATCACTTAAAGTTGATGGTTCTTGATAATTACCCCCACCACTTTGATAAAAAAAAAATTACCCCCACCACTTTGAATACTACCATACAACCAGAAATATACTTAATACCCTGCATAACGTTATTTTTTCATTCTATTTCAGAACCTCATAGTGTTCAGACGTGTGCTGTGGTGAGCGTTAAATTTTGAAAAGTTTTGAAATTTTTATAAATATTTTTGAATTTGTTTTTAAAATTTTGAGTTTTTGAAAAATTTATTTTTACTACTGTTGTCTGATTTGGTCCATATTTTTTCGATTTATATAGCGAATTATGGAAAAATTTTTAGTCACTAAAGATACTGTTAAGAAAATCCGTAAATTTGGTGTACAGGGACGAACTCTGGAATTTAAAATCAGGGACGTACCTCAAGGTGAAGAACCTGTTGGCTGGGTTAAGAACGCTATCGTGGATATTGTACATAAAGGTACAGAGAATATTCAACCTCATGATCAGGTAGGGTTTACGTTTTGCTCCAAGGACTTCGCTAGAGGTCAGGGTTGGATGAGGTTCAAGCCTGCCTCGGAAGTTGCTGTTGATGATATATGGGATAAAATTTCCTCTATATATCAGTCAAACTCTACAGGGTTGAATACTGAAACCTTCTGTCTCGGTATTACAACTGTAAAGATGCCTTTGGGGAGGGGCAGTCCGAGAGTAAAGAACTACAACTCGTTCAACGAAGAGTGTTCTAAACGTCGGGGAATCGTTGTTATCAAAAACAATGATAACCTTTGCCTTCCTCGTGCTCTTGTGGTTGCTAAAGCTTACGTGGATAAAGACCCTGAGCTCGTAAAAATACGTAAAGATATTAAAAAAAAACAACGAGAAAGGGCGGTACAGTTACTAGATAGGTCTGGTGTTGTTTTACCCGACGACGGAGCAGGTATTCAGGAATTACAACAATTTCAGTCTTTCCTAAAGGATTATAACCTCGTGGTCTATAGTTATGGACGTAAGGGTCGAGATGTCATTTTCGAGGGTGTTGGTGAAGGGCCCAGACTTAATCTTTTATTTCATGAAGGACATTACAATGTCATCACTTCTTTGACCGCTGCATTTGTATGTGTGTATTATTGTGAGGAGTGCCATCAACCTTTTAACAATAAAAACGAACATAGATGTGGTGGTACGTGTTTTGCTTGTCGACGGTCACCTGCTTGTTCCAAACATGTTGTGAAAATTCCTTGTGAGAAATGTGGCCGAAGCTTCTACGGTGAGACATGTTTCAATGCTCATATTGGTTCGGTGTGTGATAAAATCAAAAGGTGCAAGGAGTGTTACAAAATCTACACCAAAAAACATGTTTGTGGTGAGGTTTTCTGCAAAACATGTAAAAAGAGTTGTCCATCAGGGCATCTCTGTTATATGCAGCCTGATTCCGGTGCTCCTCCATCAAAAGATTTTCTTTTTATTTTCTATGATCTGGAAACTCGTCAAGAAAAAGTTTTGTCTGATGGTTCGCTTCTTCAAGAACCAAATCTCTGTGTTTTTAAACAGGTATGTGACAAATGTTTAGAATCTGATAACAAAATTTGCAAAAAATGCGGTGTTCGCTTACATATTCTAAAACAAAATTCTATTGAACGTTTTGTAGAGTTTGTGCTTAATCAACGTAAACTTTTTAAAAGAGTCGTTGTTATGGCCCATAATGGTGGTGGCTTCGATCATCAATTTATACTCAATTACATCCTCACAAAAACCGATTTGACCCCTGACGTCATTATGCGTGGTACGAAGCTAGTGTCTATGAGTGTTGGTAATGTTCGGTTTCTCGATTCTTTAAACTATTTTCCTATGCCCCTGTCTGGTCTACCTGAATCTTTTGGCTTGATAGAGTTAAAGAAAGGGTACTTTCCTCATCTGTTTAACAGAGAGGAAAACCAATCTTATGTTGGAGCTATGCCTGATTTACAATTCTATGATCCCAATAATTTGAAGGAAAAAGCACGTGGTGAGTTGATGACGTGGCACGCTGAAAGAGTAAATGAGGGCTATGTCTTTGATTTCCAAAAGGAGCTCGTTGAATATTGTATATCTGATGTTGAAATTCTGACTCAGGCTTGTCTTATTTTTAGGAATCAATTGATCGAAACGTCAAATGTTTGTCCTTTCATGGAAGCTACAACTGTTGCTTCCACCTGCAATAAAGTATTCAGGCGCAACTTTCTACAGCCAAACACTATAGGTCTCATTCCTAAGGGCGGCTATCGTTTTAAAGATAATCACTCTAAAATAGCGTTGCAGTGGTTGTTGTGGGAAGAGAAACAGAGGGGTATTTCAATTCATCACGCAGCCAGGGGTTTGGAATCTCTTATTGGAAATTGCAGGGTAGATGGTCTTTACGAAAACATCATTTTTGAATTCCAAGGTTGTTATTATCACGGTTGCCCTACTTGTTACCCTGAAAACAGAACATCTCCTCTTCATGATGATCCTTCAGATTGTATGGAGAATCGTTATGATAAAACTGTTGCCAAAAACCAACATTTGCGTTCTCTGGGATATGAACTGGTTGAAATGTGGGAGTGTGCTTTCCGCAAAATGTTGACGGCCGAAATAAAATCATATACCGATGGTCACTCCCTCATGACAACTCTTCCTCTAAATCCTAGAGATGCGCTGTATGGTGGTCGTACAGGCAATACCGTGGAATATTACAAGTGTAAGGAGGGTGAAAAGATCAAGTACGTCGATGTTTGCTCACTTTATCCCTGGGTCTGCAAAAGGGGGAGGTTTCCAACTAATCACCCTAAAGTGTATGTCGGGGATGAATGTCAAGGTGTTGATATTTCCGCTGTGTCTGGTTTAATTAAGTGTAAGATATTACCGCCTACTAATCTTTATCACCCTGTTCTTCCTGCAAAGATGAACAGTAAGTGTATGTTTGTGTTATGTCGTAAATGTGGTGAGGACTTTATTCAAGGAGAATGTGAGCATTCTGACGAAGAGAGGGCTCTCACTGGAACGTGGGTTGCGGAAGAGGTGGTCAAAGCGTTATCGAAAGGATATAAGATGCTAGAGATATATGAGATATGGAGTTATGACACAATTCAGCTGTCGAACACTGAAAAAGGTTTGTTCTCCGATATGATGAACAAATTCATCAAAATCAAACAGCAGGCTTCAGGGTGGCCCCGCGGATGTGTGTCGGACGAGGAAAAGAATCGATACATCGCGGAGTTTCTCCAGAGGGAAGATGTTAGACTGGAATTTTCCGAAATAACGGAGAATCCTGGTCTTAGGAATTTGGCTAAGCTGATGTTGAATTCGTTCTGGGGAAAGTTTGCGCAGCGAGAAAATCTTCCTAAAACCGCGATTGTCAACAAACCTGGAGTATTCTTCTCTATGCTGGTCAATCCTTCCATTCATGTTAACACAGTTGTTCCTGTAAATGAGGAAACACTGATTGTTACGTGGGAATATGTGGAGGAAGCAGCTTCTATGTCTCCCACAGT